AACAAAGAGCAAGAAGGTAAAATCAGCAGGTTGGAAAGGAAGGAAAATTGAGGAAGAAATCTCTCCACTGGCAGCTGGCATGTGCTTTGACTTCCACCCAAAGGTAGGCTCAGAAACTCCTTCCTGGCTAAACCCCCCTGCCGTGGAGGGTAGATCTATGGCTGGAGCAACTGTAATAGGACTGGACACTCGTATTTAAAGCCTGTTTAGTTCTGGAACAGATAGTGTCTCAGCTCGTAATGGTTTTACACCAAGTGGGTGATGCAGTGAGCCGAGCAAGTGATCCCTCTGTGGGAACAGCTCCGTCGTTTCAGCCCCGTTACTTGTGTGTGCTTCGGGCGGACCCTCGGGCAGTTGCCTCGCATGTTGGGCAACTCGGCGAGAATTTGCCTGTTCAGCATCTCCCAAGTCGAGGGCTGAGACGGCCACACTTCTCCCCTTTATCCAGCCGAGTGTTTTACCCACAGAGCAGTTGAAGAGTTCATGGGGATTGCACAAAGTCCGAGTTTCCGGGGGTCAGAAATCCTGGCGTGTGTTCTGCCCAGGTGGACAAGACCCGCGGCAAAGCCGATCCCTCCTGGCCCCACTGCGGCTTCTGCGCAGGTGTTCTTGTTCATGCGAAGAGAGTTTTCTAGAGACCTACAGAGGCCATAAGGTGAGTGATGTGTAGAAAAAGTAATGGCAGCAGAAACTGTTCCCTGGCATACACAGAAGCAGTCGCTTCTTTGCTTGTGATTGCTAAACAAAACGTCTGTAACAAAAGAAATCTGAACTGCTTTTCTAATGCTATGAATGAATTCTCATAGCATAAAGCATCCCACTCTTACAGGACTACTTTCTACACTAGAAGGATTTCTTTTAAAGAAAAAGTAATGGCAGCAGAAACTGTTCCCTGGCATACACAGAAGCAGTCGCTTCTTTGCTTGTGATTGCTAAACAAAACGTCTGTAACAAAAGAAATCTGAACTGCTTTTCTAATGCTATGAATGAATTCTCATAGCATAAAGCATCCCACTCTTACAGGACTACTTTCTACACTAGAAGGATTTCTTTTAAA